AACAGAGAAGGCGCTTGGAGCATGGGCTGGGGCCTGATTGGGAACACCTGGCATACAGTGCGAGCATGCGTAAGTGGGCATGGCTGAGCCTGGAGGGTGAGGATATAAAGGTGGAGAGCAGCAATGTGATGGAGAACAGCTACGAGAGGACAAGCTACACGAGAAACGTTCTGAGAGGAAGAGACCGCGAGGGAACGCCAGACAGAGCCCAAGGAGAAAGGTGGACAGATTCTTGGGGGGTGGGGTCTTGCCAGCCTCCTGGCCTCCTTGGCTCCCTGGCTTCCCTGTGCTTGTTGCCAAAATAGGTGGGTATCTGTACAGTAAATATTTGTGGAATGAATAAAACTTGGCAATTATACTAGTAAAGTTTAAAATTTCTCTGCCAGAGTCATGTCAGACATGTCTAATAAGCAACCCTAGCACACTTTGTCCTGGATTATGCTTCATAGTAACTCACAACCTAATTGTGTACTGCCGATTTGAGTTAGCAGATGGAATGAAACTTTTTCCCACACCCAATCTATAAAATACATATTGGTACATTTATTTATTATTATTGTGATTATTTGGGTGTGTCCAAGCAGATGCTAGCTGCTCTCTGTTGATTGTGTTTGGTACATGGTAGATGTTCAAAAAAATCTTTGATGAATCAAGATAATTTGTAATAATCTCCATATCAAAACTTTGGCAAGGTAGAAGGTGGACTAAATAAATTTATGATCATAAGATTTTCCAAGATAAGAAGTGGATAAATTGTGCCACACAAATAGAAAAAATTTCCAAGACAAAATAAAGGAAAACAGCTTCCTGGCAAAATAGATGAGCATGTCAATTCTGTTGCCTGAGATCTGGGGTTACAGGTGTTCATTATGAACTGCTGAAAGATTTGACAATTATATGTATGTGTGTGTGTGTTTGTATTTATATACACACACATGTGTGGGTGTGTATATGTGTGTGTAGCCCATTACAAATCTTCCAGATCATTTATATCATCTGATTGCATATGACTTGATGTTGGTCAGATGGAATTTCTATAGGACAAGGCTTAGATGGAGGGGTGAGGGAGAGGGTTGCATGGGAAAGTGACTACAATGTACTTCTCCAGACTTGGAGGGGCCTCTTTTAACAGATTTTGCTGATAATAAGTGGTCTCTTTTAGGAGAAGTGAAATCTGGAATTATCTTTAATCCAGAGAGCTTTGGTTCCATGGGTGGATTGTGGGTCTAAACAGAAGCATGTTTTCATGACTTTTATCTGAGGACCTAAGTGTTAAGTCAGGAAAGGGTGATCCTAATAGGTATGAATGCAGTTATTTCTGCTTTAGGACATGCATGGTCGAAAAGAACATTCCCATTGAAACAGAAATGAATGCTCTTCTTGGAAAGAGCTAGTTTCCACAAAGATTATCTTCACATATAGAGACTTCATTCAATCTATTGCCAGTATATCCATCACTCAGGAACAACCCAAATGATGAAAACAAAAAGATATAGCACTGGGATGAGCTCAGATATTCACTTCCCCTCAGCCTCCTTCAGCAGGTTGAGAGAAGATACACACATCAATAAAATTACTCTTTTCCCCATAGAATTATGTGAATCAAACTAGACAAATTATCCAAGGGCAGAAATTACTCCATGACTGCCACTGGCTTAGCATTCAGGCAGTTGGAGGTGCCATTGATTTATTTAAACTAACTCTGAAGTAAACTCTGAGCAAATTTACTTCAGGTCCTTGAGTAGGCTCAGTAAAAGCAGGCAGTGGATACCATGGCCAACAAGCAATCTATGCTGAATAATAATTTTAAATCTTTAGACTTTAATCATTAATTTCTTCTAAACTGATTGTATGTATGTATTTGCATAGGGAGATAATGGGGGTACATCATGGAGGAATAAGAATTGCCTATTGGATCTTTTCCAATAGTGCTGTAAATCTATAAAGTGTCATGTGAGAGAAATTTGTTTAGATTCAAGTAAATGATTATTAACTTTGTTTTACATAATTTAGGGAAAATTCAATGATGCCCTTTCAAATAAGGTCTTGTGTATATTTGGGGGAGGATTATGTTTGTGGTCTTATAATTTTGGAAAGTTAATACAGGTGAATTTCTTTTTGATATTCTTCAAATTTCAGAAGGCTTTTGAAACAGAAGCAAAAGAGGATGCAATGTTTTTCATCCACAATGTATTTTTTTTTAATCCATATTGCTTACCTCATCAAAAAGTCCAGGTGTTCTTCAGAATTTCCAAGGAGAGCTTTCAACCAATCCACACACTTCCCAGATGCCCTGGGTCTGTTTTACTTTTTTAAATGTCCTTCCCCATCTTTTGTGTTCTCCTAACCTTTAACAGCCCACACTGATGGTTCTTGTTGGAGGAGTTCCTGCAGGCTAGAGTCATTTCTTATAACTTTAACTTTCCAATATCTCAGAGTCAGAATTACCCAAACTCATTGTCCTCCCTCTAGATTTTCTTGCCTCGATGTTCAACATGCTTAGAACACAAATTCACTTACTGAGTGCTTACAATGTGCCAGGCACTGTGCTGATACTTTGCCTGTCATCTCATTTACTCCACACTAAAAACTCAGTGAAACATATGATCATTTCTCACATGATCACAGCTTTTACAGCAGTAGTGTATCTTTTCACATAATTTACATTCAACATTTCAGGGGCATTATCACTCCAGTAGGGACTGCCAAGGATCAGTAAGTCAAAAAATGATTTCTTTCATCAGATAGGGAAGGCACAAGACAGCAAAGCCCAAACTTTGGTCAGCAGTTAAGCAGAAACATGAATCAAGGGCTGTCCTCATGGATTAGCTGAAAAAGCTAGTCACTCCGGTGTATTCAGACTCAAAGAATTTACATTCTCCTCCCCTGGAGCCACATTTGATTATCACCTTTTCATCTACATTCTACTGTAAGTCCATGTCGCTCAGACATTCTGTGCCTAGAAAAATGGGGAGCAATAGGAGTGAGTTGTTGGCAAGTGGCTTCACATTTCCTCCTGTTGTTTCTAACACTTTCATGTCTCTGGATGTGCGAATGTATGATTGATTGATTTTCACCCAAGCATTATCTTCTAAGTTATTTCCATATTTTGTAGACAATAGTCTGTAAATATCTAATGAGGCACCTGCACAGGAACCCAGTGAAAAAACAAGTATTTGAATGGTGTAAATAATAATACCCAACTTGGTGACACTGTCAGTATACAGCGAACTTTTCAAATGCAGCCAAAGGGAATAGCATTGCTTTCCAAGATGTCACAGGTGTTGCGATGCCAGTACTTTCTTTTAACACTGAACACATTACCTGCCTCCTATTTGGAAATTCAAGGGAACAAAGTTTTTAACTGAAAACAGTTATGATATATAGAGCAGTCTCATAAATTTGTAGTTTGGAAGAAACTCAGAATGCTTAATTCAACTTCTACAACTTTTTTTAAAAAAGATTTATTTATTTGCATACAGAGTTGGGGTACAGGCCAGAGGTGCAGGGGCAGTGAGAGGATTCACCAGAGATAGAGTGGGGAGCAGAACAGGCTGACTGACAGACTGCTGAGGGGAGCAGTGGGTGGGTCAGGAGAGGTCAGCTACACCATGTGGGTCACCTCCGGGGCAGGTGGGGATTGAACTCTTGTGGAAGTGGCTTTAGCTTCTCAGTGCTGTGCTTTAACCTCCTGCGCTACCAGGGAGGGCCTCTACAACTTTTCTTTTGAAAATTTCTTAGTCTTCTCCCTTCTTACTACCCTCACTCCCTCTTTCTCTCCATCACTTTTCCTCTTCCCTCCTTCCTTCCATCTTTCTCTTTCTTTTTGCTTCATCATCTTGTTTCTTGATTACTAACACTACACATATATGTACATAATACAAATAAATTCTCCATGGCTAACTTTTAGGCAATAGTCACATTCTTCTGCTTGTCCACCAGAATCTAATTAGAATCTTTTCATTAAAGAAACACCAAATATACAGAAAGGCATGCTAAATTCATTTCAGGAATGCTGCACTTAGAAAATAGTGATTCACTTGGTGTTTTCCTTTCCTCTGACTAATAGAATTCATTTGTTTAGTGAATGTTACCGTGGTGAAAAACTAATTTTGATGAAAAAATACAAGAAAAGCAAGTGTGGACATTTTTTTTTAAAGAAAGATTGCACTTGTGCTTTTTAACATACATAGTGCAAATTCTTGATTTATTCTAAACCGATAGCAGCTATAGTTCTTATAATGTTAATATAAGGTTGTTGACTTTTTTCTTGTTTATGATTTTCCAGATACTGCCCTAGGAGAAATAGGTCAAAGGGCACATGTAAGTCTCTACTGGTATGCATGTGGAAAAGGGGGCATGATTTAGAGTACCCATTTTTAAAAGGTATTAAAATGTGTTGGGAATCTCTTTTATTTCTTTAGTTGTTTTTTTTTTTTTTTTTAACAGATGTCAGCTTCTTTTCATGGGACTATAAGGATCATCTACCCATAAAATCCCTTTGTGAGAGAGAGTTCATTGGCTATGCTTCTTTCCTTGGAACTTCGGTAAACACTGCCCTCTCAGAATTTGTGCACTGAGTTTTGCAAAGGCTTTCTCAGATCTTCTGAAGAAAAGATAGATCTTCACGAGTCCCTTCAAGTACAACCTTTCCCTTAGTTGATGGCAAAGTTATCCAAACCCAGATAATGAGAAATCCATTAGGACAGAAGTATCATTTCTGTTTTTACTCCTAAGGCTATACTAAGGCTATGTCTAGTGACAACTGTGTTAACCAGACCAATCACTTACATTATTGCATGGGACTCTATGCTGGCAATGCTGAAAACAAATATGCTTGTTATTCAAATTGCCTTGTTACTGGAGTACACAGCAACGATGATCCAGAATCTTTAACATACTGATAGCTTTTAAAAAGCTAATACAATTACACAAATGATGTGCTGTAGCAGTTCTTAAAAAACAACAACAACAACAACAACTACTGCATTTTATAGCTAAACAATTTTATTGGCTTTTTGTGAAATAAAAAACACAAAACAAACCACCATGGTTAAAGGCCATAGTCAGCATCAACCAAATGAACCAGCCACTTGGTTTCAGTAGCTGATAACAAACACTAGTGGAGATTATTGCTTATACCCCAGGTTCATTTATATGTCCATGTTTTGGCAAGATTACAATTAAATGGGAGCTTTGGTTGTATAAGTTCAACTCTGACTACTCATTGGATACTCAACCTCTACTATTTTATGATGGGATACATACTGATTCTTCCTGAGTCTTGATATTTATTCCCTCATTCTGTCTCCCTTTTTCCTTTCATTAAAAATTTACAAACCTATTGACCAAAAATTAAAGTGGATGCATTTATAACCATCCATTTCCTACTCCAATGCCCTCTCCTTTGTCACGAGAAAAGGGCACACTTTTGAGCCACTCCAAACTCTTGTGCAGTGTGTTTCACTGTCAGTAATAAATACTCATCTGTAATTTGGATATATTTGCAAATGCATATGGCTGTCAACATTGAGGTTTAGATTCAACTTTTCCAACTTCTGAAAGCTAGGGGGAAAAAATATCAACAGCCTTTAGCTCAGGAAGTTGACCTCCCAACAAAATAAGACACAGCCTTCACCATATAACATTCCACACAGGTATGGAATCTTGGCTATAAAATGCTCTAGTGACGTAACATTTAATCCACAGAAAAGCAGTGTTTGACTGCTCTTGAAAGCTCCCCTGCTCAGTACTTTCTGTTTTAACACTGAAAACCAGAATGACAAAGGGTCAGAACTAACTCACAATAGCACCATTTCCTAGACTCTGGGAAAAGATTCTAGTCTGTGTTGGAGAATGCAGGGACCCAGCCTCCAGCTTTGCGCCTTCACAGGCCCTCTGAATTTCAGCAGGGGTGGGTGGTCTGCCTTAGCCTACTTCTGTAGCAAGCGACATGAATTTTCCCTGGGAAGAGTTAAAAATATTTTACAAAGTGGAGTTGGCCACAGGTAAGCGACCTGAGGAAGCCTATTTGTGGTGGTGAGATGTGACAAACCCACAAGTGGTGGGGGAGAGTCTGGGGACCCTGTCCTTTGCCCATCTCAATTCAAGTCAGTGGAGAATCTGCATGCAGAGACGCATGGCGAGATCAAGGAATACTGAGAATACTTAAACCCTAATATAGCAATCCAAACAGCAATGCGCTTACGGTCGCTTCTCTGTTCAGGTCCACCAGTGAATTTGCCCTGGATAGTGCTGGGATTTAATAAGCCCTTCTAATGATTACAAAGATTATCCTCTTGAATCTAGACATTTTAAACAACAGAAGATTTGATATCACTATATTTTACGTGGCACATATAACCATATAATTACTAGCAATTACACAGCAAATATTGTAAATACACATTCTTAGTGTTGACTTGGTAATTATACCAATGTTATTCGACAGCACAAAGATTAAACACTCTCTAACTTGCACTTTGGGGAATTCATCCCAACCCTTTACTTCACAACAAAAGGATAACCCTCTAATTATGTAATAATGCTCAATGGTTTTGTGGGCGAAGAGAATCACAGGGCGACTTCATGGTGAATTTGTGGCCTGTAAAGTAAAGTCATACATAGTAGTTCATTTCAACAAAATACAAGAGACCATATAAAAATATTTTCCAATTTGAAATTTGAAACATGAAAGCTGGATTTTTTTTCTTGTATAAAAAGAAATGAAATAACGGACTAAAGTTTATTAAGCCTTCTAACAAAAAAATATACATATAAGTTGAAGGAATGCAGTGAGCATCAACTTCCCTTTTTGTCCAGGCTCATGGATGGTGAGCTTGTGCTTTGATCCCCACAAAGATAAATGCACAAAAGTGGAGGAAGATCAGTGCCTGAAACCTGAACTACATCTTATCTCTAAATAAGACTAATTTTACAGTAGTGCTTTTACAAGTGGTGTGTCAGGTTACTGATTTTTTTTTTCCTTCTCTTCCTCCTCAGGCAACTGCTGGAGATGAATTCCAGAAGCACCACCTTCGTCTCGAGTGATGTTTGTTTAGTGCAATATCTTCTTTCTCTCGTTCCCTTTTCACACGCTGGTAGTGGTCTTCTTCCTTCAGGTACCACACAGGGGGCCAGCGGTGCCGTTCAAAATATTCCTGGTTGTCTGGCGGAGGAAAAGTAGGAGCCATTGTACCCATTTATAGAACACATCTATACGCCAGATTCTGAGCTTAAAGTTTCTCACCTATGATTATTTCACATGTCCTCTCAGCAGCCCACTGTGCAGAGACTACGAGTAGGCATGTTGGAAGACTGTGACACTAAAGGTTTTGGAGGGAAAATCACTAGTCTAAAGTTATGCAACAGGGCACGAGACCTGAACCCAGGACCACTTGATTGCAGAGTGTACGGAGACTGCAGAGTGAAAGCTCACTTCTAACCCTACCTGCACACCCAAGGTGAGCCCAGAATTTCAGCATGCTTCTTTATAAGGCACCCTGAACCCCACTCCACCTAAGTCCACCGGAATAAAGTTCTCTCAAGAGAATTCCTAACCTACAATTCTTTGTGCCGTGTCACATGAATGTGTGACCTCCACCCAGTCACAAGAAACTCTCCACGAGTTGCCAGCTGCTCGTGTTCCTTCTCAAGGGCACAGAGGGTAAACACTTCAGCCAGAGTGGGTGAGAATTGGATGAATGGGGACATGCAGTCTTACCTGTGGATTTCGATTTGATTTCTTTGCGGAACTTGGAACAAACACTGTTGTAGTTGGTACAGATGTGGTGCAAACACCAAGCGGCTAGCTGGTGGGCATTGTGAAACTGCAGGGGAGAGACCCAAAGGGAGGTGGTGGTCAGACTCTATTTTCTGAATGGGGCCACAAAAAAATAGGGAGCCATTGTACGGGTGAAAGAAATACAGGACCCATATGACATGACTAATTCAGCAAACCTCTTGTTTTGACTACAGTGTTTTGACATTGGTTCTGCTGCCAGCCAAGAACAGCTTTGGCACACCCCTCTCTAGCCCCTTGTGATAGGTGCACCAAAAATAATCACAGTATCAGATCAGGAGTTTAAATTATGCTTTGCTCTCCCACCCTCCCCTGCCACCTGGCCCGCTAGTGATAAGTGCTGTGGCCTCTGGAAGGCAGCAGCCAACAGCTGAAAGTAGCAATGTCATCTCTGTTTAAGGAAGCCTCGGCAACAGAACACTCCGTGTCGCATGACAGAGCTCAGTTTGCTGGGGCCAAAGACCTGAAAGAGGAGACTGAGGAATGCGTGGCTGTCCTATACCTGTCCTTTAGTTACATAAAAAGAACAGGTGATGTGGGCAGGGTGGGAGGGATGAGAACACTCCACTGAGTGAGGTGGCAGCTAAGGTGGCTGTGACTGAAAAAGACCTGAAGCCCCAAGTTGACAGCTCCCTTGTTAATTGACCTGGGGTCAACTGACAGTGTCAATTGTCATTGACAGGCATTTGGTAGTATCCTCCAGTCTCTAGCTCTTTTTGCCCATGACTGTCTCACACACCCATTCTCTGGTTGTGCTTGACATTTCTTTTAGTCAGGCAAAAATTCCCTGTGCCTATGATGCACTTCCTCTGGCCCACATCGCCACTGTAAATTACAGCCAACAGAAAAGCCAAAGTCCTTGAAATTAACTCAAGAAACTATGAAAAACAACTTCTACATTATAGACAATTTTGTTGGTGCTGATTGGAGGTTTCTTTCTGATTGTACGCTGGAGCAGTGGTGCATTGAGGCTGGCTTGTACCCACAAATTAAGACAGTTGATGGTGTGCAAATTTCTTCCTTACTCTGAGTTTAGTGACTTTACCTCATTAAGACTGGCCAGATGGGACATTTATGCCATGTTTATACCATGGAAATTGGAAAATGCACCAGGTCAGGGCTGCACCTGTCTATAAGCTGTTTGCTAAGTACTAACCAGGACAGCAATGGGTTAGAGTATAATGAATAAGCTAAGTTATGGGAGGCTCCTTCATCAAATCTTCCTACCAAGGCTTGTCAAGGTTTAGCAATAATTGCATCTCCTTGCATGGCATATTTCTGGATGGAGTGGAGGGAGATGAAAGGTGGGAACACAGAGCAAACAAAGAAAGAGACATAACTCCAAATCTTATCTGAGCTGGACTGGCCCTGTAGAACACCTGGCCATTTCATTTTCTGCAGGAGGAATACTTACAGGAGAAGTGTGAGAGTTTTATGCTTCATGCACCATTCATCCTACTGGGATTCTTTTAAAAACGCAACAAGGGCCCAACCCCACACCCCAAGGATTGTTTCAAAAGACCCCAACCCCAAGTACAGGAGACAGGCATTGATTGTACTGTTGTCAACATCTATTCATTGTTTCATTGTGATCTCCATTAGGTTGTTTTTCACATCGGATTTTAATATTTGTGGTTGTCTACTTCTGCAGACTGCAGAAGGGCAGAGAATCTACCTTTTGTACCTACATATTCGCTTGTCTAGTGGTGTGTCTGCTGTGTGGGAGAAACTAACCAATAGTTATTGTATATTGACTCAGAATACCAGGGTGCTGTAACCTTCTATTCCTCTCTGCCTTCTGAATCTGCGTCATCTCCTGTGTCCACAGCCTAAGGAATACCTGCTATCTGCTTCCCTCCTTTCCCTGAAATCACCTCCCCTCTCCCCTGACTTGGAAATAGCCATTTAAATTAATGACCTGAGACTCAGGCAACCACTGTCCTCACTGAGTGAGGTAAAAGAAAAGTGGGAACTCAGATGGAAAAAAGACTAGAGAGTTGATTCTTAGTTCCTTGAGAGTACAGTCATGGTCAGTATGCCAGGAACTAGATCATTTGTGCAGACAATGTCTCCACTCTTCAGTGCTCCTTCTTAGATATTTTATCCTTTCGATTATTTTTTCTTTCTCTATACTTTTTTTATTTTATATATTTTTGCATTATTCATTTTTTACATTTTTCCATCTCAGTTGTAACTTCCCACCACCACTTCACCCATCTGCCATCACCATGCTCCCATGTGCTCTTCCCACTCCAATTTTGATCTTGTCCCCCCTCTCCTCCCCTGTAGAATGTCTCTGTTTTAGCCATCTAGTATTTTTCTTTTTCTTTCTGGCTTATTTCACTAAGCATGATCTTTTCCAGCTCCATCCATGTTGCCGCAAATGGCATGAGTTTATCTTTTTTGAAACTCAACAAATATAAAATGAACAAAAAATGAATCAAAAAATGGGCAGAAGAGCTACAAAGACACTTCTCCAAAGAGGAAATGCAGATGACCAACAACCATATGAAAAAATTTTCAACATCACTTGTAATAATGCAAATCAAAGCCACAATGAGATACCACCTCACACCAGTGAGAATGGCACATATGAAAAATCAAGCAACAATAAATCTTGGCAAGGGTGTGGAGAAAAAGGAACTCTCCTACACTGCTGGTAGGAATGTACGCTGGTCCAACCACTATGGAAAGCTCTGTGGAGGTTTATCAAATGGCTAAAAATGATCTTCTATTAAGATCCAGCAATTCCACTCCTAGGTATCTACCTAAGGACACACAAACAATTCAAAAGGACACCTGCACCCCTATGCTTATTGTTGCCCTATTTACAATAGGTAAGATGTGGAATCAACCCAAATGTCCAAAAGTAATGACTGGATCGAGAAGATGTGGTATGTACACACAATGGAATACTATTCAGCCATCCTTTTGACTCTTAAAATAATTTGAAGGGTTGGTCAGGTGTGAATTACCATCCCCATTTCTTATGGATGGGGAAAATGAAATAGCTTTATGCCTTGAATACATTAGTCAGCAACAAAATGGAAGCCAGATTTTTAGGCTCTTTCTTTTCTTTTTAGATATATTTATTTTTACATCATTCTTCACTTTGTGCATTTTTTCATCTTAGTTGTAATCCCTGTGGACTTCCCACTACCAATTCACCTTTGTGCCATCACTATAGTCCTATGTGCTCTTTTCACTCCGATTTTGATCCTATTCCCCTCTTCACCCCTGCAGAATGCCTCTGATATATTACAGTTGTTCTTTGTTTTTCATTTTTACTTTATTACAATTGTTTATATTTTTCCTGATCCCTTATGCTCCTGCTATGAGTGAAAACTTGTTCTTTCTAAAAAGGAAGTAAACATGTAGATTGGGATTACAGAATCACATTGACAATATTAACAAATTCTGCTTTTAGAAAAGCCTAGGACAGTTGCAGTGAAGTGTGTGTGGTTCCACGGGATTTGACGGAAACCTGGAAATGTCTGATCTAGCTCAACACATGTCCAAGAATTCGAAAGAAGAGAGACAAAACCATTCCCTGTCATACCCCAAATTGTTCTCCCACATGTGAAACTTGTGCCTCAGGGGACAATGGGGCTGGAGTGGGGGTAGGGTCCTTGTTGCTTTTTCAAAGGAAGCCCAGCAGGGTGGATAGTGCATGAAACATAAAACTCTCAGATCTTCTCAGTGTACACAGGGGGCCTCTGTGACTCAGTGGTGACATCTTTATTTAGACAGATGCAACAGAGGAATGTTTTATCAGCATTAAATGAACTGGTTGAACACACTTAAAAGGTGAAAAGCAAGCTATTACAAACCTGGGCCAATTCCAAATAAGAGAGCACCTCCCCATCAATGCCCACACCGCTCATTGCAGCTTTGGTCAGCTCCTGAACGGCGTGCTGCTCTGGGGAGGAGAAGAAAAAGAGAGTTAGATTTTGCCTTGCAAGCCAGACATCTTGTCAGGAGGGTTTGGTCGGGGACACCAAATTGTGGAGGAAGTACTTGAGATCTGGCAACCATTCAAATTGAATTCAGGGCCAATTCTGATGGTGACGTTGCAGTACATAGACGTGGCACCAATGACTGGGGACACTTGTTATCACTTCTAGCTAGAGTCTTTCAAATTTTCATTGTCTCCTAGGTTAACTGTTGACTACTTGAAACGAAACAATAATTAATGTGAATGCAATTAAAAATTCAGGTCCTCAGCAACACTAATCTCATTTAAGTGCTCAACAGTCATGCGAGTATTAGGCAATGCCAACACAGAATGCTGCCATTGTTGTAGAAAGTTCTATTGAACAATGTTACCCTAGATAGTCAGCAACTTTCTGCAATCCCGTAGACATTCTAGCATCTTCCTATTCCAGTTTCCCTTCTCACATCATTTCGATTCTCAGTACTCTCTGACAGTGGAAAGGTTGAGTACAGAGAAATGAGTCCAGGTGGAGAAATAAAAACATGAAAGCATATGTCTATTTCAATAGCTGCTGATGGATGATTTGTTTATTATGCAACCTCTTCGATTCTTTAGATGGGGAAGACCATCCATGGGAAAGAACAAACCTCCAGTTGGGAGAGCCTTTTCTGCTGGGAGCTGTGTTTAAGACTTCTAAACTGAATTTCAATTGTGATTTTGAGACTAAGCTGTCTCTGGCATTCATCTGGGCTGTCACCCACCTCCCGGATAGACAAGTGCAGGTACAGTCCAGGCTCTGCCTTTCTACCTTCTTATTGCTCTGTTCTTTTCTCATCTTTAGCATTGTTCTTCTAATCCAGTGTATTATATACAGAATCTCAGCCAGTATATTGTCCGAATCATGCTTACTTTCTGCTTTGGCTTTACATACTAGTATATGCCTTTGTCTAGACAATATGGTATCTAGATGTGAATGGTGTCTTTGGCATAACTTTCCTCAGCTGGACTGACAAAGAACTATTTGGAACTGTAGTTCCCAGAGATTTCATCAGGCCTTTTAATTTTAGGTAACTGAAATATTTCTTAGTTTAACAGTTTTGCTTACAAAGCATTTTCACCCCCAAACTGATTTTTTTAATATAGAAGAAATCAGAGGTGTGTGTGTGTGCTGGGTGAGGAGGGGGTGAGTTGATTCATCATATACAGAGCAGGGAACAGGACAAGTGGATTTACTGAAATACACTTCTAAGGGGAGCAGCAGGTGGGTCAGGGGAAGTTTGCTGTGGGTTAGCTACCTGGCCAGGGATCAAACACTGGCTGTAGCAGTGATGGTTCTGGGACTTAATACCAAGGCCACCAAGGAGGCCCCCAAACTGAGTTTTAAATACTGTACTCTGAACACTATGTTCTACAATTTAGAATAGTAGACATCAAACACTAAATGTTTAAGAGTCAATAAGAAACTATGTTAAAAGTCATAATAGTAATAACATGTTAAATGACCAAAATAAACATACAAACAAGTTAATTCAACAGGAAGCTCTCTTTGGGTCATTTTCTTTGTGGAAAAATAGCCCCATATTTTTTCACTGTACTTAATATTTTAGCCAAAAATAGCACCACTTTGAGATTGATCACTGACTTTGCTCAACAGATTTGGCTCCAACTTACTTTTGACTATCTCAAAACAGTCAAATTTATCCTCAAAAGATAGATACTTGTAAAATACTATAGATAGTCAAATGGGTTGGAACTCATACTTCTGAAAAAGGGGTTGCCCACTGCATCCTCTTGGAGTTATACACTCATTTGGATCTACAATTTCAAGTTGTATTGGTTAAAAATACATTTTTTTATTACAAAGTTTATTTTTACATCATTTTGCACCCTTTTTTTTCCATCTCGATTGTAATCCCCGCGGGTTTCCCATCACCAAATCACCCCTGTGCCACCACCATAGTCCCGTGCATTTCCCTCCCTTCCTCCCTCACCCCCCCGTTTTTGATCCCATTCCCCACTCCGCCCCCACAGAATGTCTCTGGTATATGGTTGTTCATTATTTTTGTTATTTTCTCGCCTGGTCCATTATACTCCTGCTATGAGTGAAACCATCTGGTATTTTTCTTTCTCTTTCTGGCTTATCTCACTCAGCATGATCTTTTCCAGCTCCATCCAAGTTGCTGCAAAAGACACGTGTTTCTCTTTTTTGGTTGCTGAGTAATATTCCATTGTATATATGTACCACATCTTTCTAATCCAGTCATCTACTTTTGGGCATTTGGGCTGCTTCCATGTTTTTCCAATTGTAAATAAAGCAGCAATAAACATGGGGGTACAAGTATCTTTTTCAATCAGTGTTTTTGTGTCTTTTGGGTAGATACCTAGGAGTGGGATTGCTGGGTCGTAGGGAAGCTCCATGTTTAGCAGTTTGAGGAACCTCCAAACAGTTTTCCATAGTGGTTGTACTAGTTTGCATTCCCACCAGCAATGCAGGAGAGTTCTTTTTTCTCCACATCCTCGCCAACAATTGTTGTTGCTAGTTGTTTGAAGATGTGCCATTCTCACTGGGGTGAGGTGGTATCTCATTGTGGTTTTAATTTGCATGTCCCTTATTACGAGTGATGTTGAACATTTAAAAATACATTTTTAAAAAATGAAATTGAATAGCAAATCTTTAACTATCTCTAATTGGGGAAGAAGTAAGGCAAGGGAAAAAACTAATCTTCAGTTGGTTGAATGTAGTGAAAACCTTAAGTGGATATTTTCACTCATATGTGGATATAAAGAAACATAGCAAAGAACAGATGAAAATGAACCAAAAACAAACCCTTGAAATCTGACTGCAGAACTGAGGCTTCTAGGAGGGGAGTTTAGGGGGGAGGAGGATGAGGGTCCCCATGGAGTATGTTGTAGGATTACTGGGGCTATGGTGCTGGGCTTAGTGGAAGATGTGTAAACCTGTACCCCTAAAACATAATTGTAACTCATAATTATCTCAGTGAACACGATTAAAAAACAAACAAACAAAAAATTGCCAGAAAGTCAAGTGCTGATATGACTTGTTCATACATTTATTTTCACTCATTTAAGAATTCAACAAATATTTGAGAACCTAATGCATTCAGGCTCTTTTCTATGTGCAGGGGATAGGCCAGTGAACAAAATCAGTACTAGCTCTGCTTTCAATATTATAGGAGTCTACTGAATGTTGTAATAAATGCCACAACTGTAAATTGTCACCTCTGGTGAATGAAGCTGAAGGTTTAAATTTAAGCAAAAGGTTTTCTGAATGTGTATATCTTATTTCGACCTGCTGCAGCTTACCAAATGAACAAATTGAGAAACGGTATCTATGATTTTTTGCAATGAGGCCAAGTTTCCCACTTTTTCTTTCTCCCAAAAATGATCTTGACACTATCAGAATATTTTCTAAAATAGCTTTAAGAAAACCTCTTACATAATACTTACTAGGTGCCAGACACTGTTCTAAATATATGTATCTCATTTAATCTTCACAACTCTATGATCCCCAGATTAAAGAGAGAAAGGGGCGATAAAGAGCCATTAATTAAGTATGAAGTCCTCTAGCCCATAAATGGCAAAGCCAGGATTTCAACTCAAGCAATTTGACTTGATAGCATATCTTCTTACCCACAATTCCTTTGTGCTACCTTCTTTAAGACTGTAGTGGCAATACCGGATGGGTATATCCAAATACTACCTCAATAAAAAATAAAATAAAATAAATAAAAAAAGTGTCTGAGCACACACGGTACCGATAACATGGATATAACCATTCTATTTCAAGGTCTGTGATCCACAGTGAGGCAGAATGCATAGCATCCGGGCCTCAATAGCAGGCGCCACATGTTGCTCATCTTTCTCTCGTCTAACACGCCCTATCACAAAGTAGGAGTTTAAGAAATACTCACTGAATTGAATCAGTTTGACAGCCTGATATGGTGTGATAAAAATTAATTTTTATTCCAGAAATCCTATTTTGGTTTAAATGCAATTTTGATCAACACGACAGTCACACACTGCATGGCCCCAAGTCACCAGCCTTACCTGCAAGTGCAACCAAGTGTGGAAGGCAAAATCTGTTTGCCAAGGCAATTAATTCCAGTGGGTCCAGGTCCAAGTTAGGTGACAACTGCTTGGTATAGAGATAATCCAATACCGCCTGCATTGACATCTTGTTTATATTCGGGAGATAGACCTGAAAGGTTATTTGAAAAGCTAAGTTCTGTTGAAGAAATCAGTGGGCATATTTTCAGGTGATACGGCTTATAAATATCCCAACTGTGTGATTCGATATTAGCGAGTCTGGGACACCTGCTTTGAGGTTGAGCACAGAAGTCATTTGGTATTTATGGCTTTAAGCGTAACAGTTTGATTTGTAGATGACAAAAGTGTAGGGCTGCCTGACAAAGCTTGATTTGCAATTTTTAAATGGCTATTTGGACTTATAAATCAGACAAATGGGCTGTAAATGTATGATGACATTATGGGCCCTCCTTGCCAAGTACCTTATAATACTGTATTGTGGGAAAGAAATCTCCTAGCAACATGACAGATGTTGGGGGGGGCTGCAAACCACACTGTTGCTGACATACACTAGAGCCCAGCTTTCCAAGATGTAAAAACAGAGGATGAGCAATCACCTAGGTGCCACAGTGACTGACTTGATTTCAACGCTCTATCAATATATGCTAGCACCATGTAACACTTCATTATTTTTCCCATGGCACAACTACATAGATCCACAACTACCGGCCATTAGCAACTATCAGTACATTAAGGAATTTAAAGAAACCTTTTATTAAAGTCGCCCATTTGGGGAAGCGATTGGATGTGGAATCCTTTCAGGATTCCCCTAATCTCCTTCCTGAATACCTGCAATTGTTGCCCATGTAAAAGTATACTATAGTTTGAAGGAGAGCCAGGGACAGGTTGAAAAGTAGAGTTCATTTGGGGAAGCGATTGGATGTGGAATCCTTTCAGGATTCCCCTAATCTCCTTCCTGAATACCTGCAATTGTTGCCCATGTAAAAGTATACTATAGTTTGAAGGAGAGCCAGGGACAGGTTGAAAAGTAGAGTTCAGGATGACTGGGCTTGGGAGGTAATTATATAGCAGCTAATCTTCATTGGTGTGCCTGGATGTATAGTATAGAAGGTACCAATGGCATTTTTTATTGGAATGATGGTTATAAAATTAGTCTTCATTGAAGGTTCCTATACCTAAGGTACTGTGCTACACTATGCTATGATTTGATCCTTATATCTCTAGGAAGAAGAGATTTACAAATAAGGAAATGAAGGTTTTGGGAGGTTAAGTAGCATGTCCAAGATCACAGAAGTAGGAAGCAGTGATTGAGAGATGAGCCGAGGAGTCTAACTCTATTTTCAGTGCTGCTGGACAGTGCTGGCAACATTTAATACAAGGAAGCAAAGGTTTGGGTTATAGTACAGGAAAGTACCATATTTCACTAATTTTTTTTAAGATTTATTTATTTATTCATACAGAACTGGGGTACAAGCCAGAGGCACAGGGGCGATGAGAGCAGAACAGGCAAATTGACGAAGTACACTGCTGAAGGGAGCAGCAGGCAGGCCAGTAGAGGTCTGCCACGCCACGTGGATCACCTCTGGGGCTGGGGATTGAACTCACACTGAAGCAGCTGCGGCCAGCTTGCGGTGCTGCTTCCTAACCTGTTGCGCCACCAGGGAGGGCCCTAACTAATGGTTTTTAAGAAACAGATTTCTAAATTTAAAAAAGATGAACAATTATGAATTACTTAATTCTGATAAAGTGTTAGCAATTCTAATTATAAATAGTCCTGGATTTCCTGTGGACACCTATTCTTTCAGAGATGGGACTGTCAGCTGTTTCTGAAAGTGATGGCTTGCAAGAGAGGGCAAAAGCCTGGGCCAGGCCCAGGGATATGTTACTAAAATGCTGTCTGTCTTGACAAGTCATTCATCCTTTCTTCTTAGTTCCTCAGTTTCTTCATTGGTTACATGGGAGTAAACTGAATAGATGATAACTAAAGTTTTTGTTTTTCACTGAGATTATGAGTTTCGAAGATATTACCATTGCTTGGTAAGAATGTGTTCTAAGTTACGGTAAAGGGGACGTCCTAAATAGAAATAAATTACTTCTGGCAGCAAAAGATGACAGGTTCCAGCAAGCAGCCCTGCTCCAACGTTCCCAGTACCTCTGGAGTACTCTGACATTTGTAATCATCCATGACATGCTGTTCCTTTTTGCGTAACACATACAAATTTTTTTTTTTTAAGCAATGACTTGTTTTTGGAGCAAATAATTTTAGGAATCCTAAGAAGTAACCAGTAAATGAGAACAGACTAAAGATGCTTTCAGAACATGCATTTCCCCTTCACGATTGCTCCTGGAAAATGCTGTTTTTGTGATTTCAGTGTTTACAGTGAACTGTGTAATAATGGAGAGACTATTCTGTAGAATCTTTAAAAGTAACAGAAATATAAATAAGAAATACAATTTAAAAATTTGCATCCTACTTGCTTGATGTACTGTTTTTTTTTTTTAAAGGAAAATGAATGAGAACATAATACTACCCTAAACAACAAACCATTCCAGTTTAGTTGGTTTAAAATTTTAATTGCAAAGATCAGCTCAGACTATTAGGCTTATAATTAGAGATAGACTCGTAGAGAATGAGAAAGTATTGTAGATTCAGAGCATTGCTTACTACAACCCTGGCATGCATTTTTAATAAACCACTTGCTGAGTACCTCTGGGGAGAGAATTATGCTTACTGCTACATTAAAAGTAATGAGAAAAATATAAGTAAAGTACTGTGTCTTCTTAAATATTAAAGACCAAAAAAAAAAAAAGTCAAAGTAACATCAATGGGCATATTTTATTTCTTTCTGGATATGATGTGAAATCTATTAATGCAAAAAATAATAGGCTGAATTTTGTAGGGGAGTCAGGTTTTCGCAAGACAATAAAGATTTAAAAGGTGGCCAAGAAAGAACAAATCCCAGGGCAAATATGGGCTAAATCAATCATGGAGTGTTTACTTCTACCACACTAAGGTGATTTAGAAAGGGAACTGGGGGCTTTTAACTTGGGGCATTTAAGGAAGAAAGATCATTACTTCCTCTTGGACAGAATTTAAGCAAGAATCCTCCAGGAAAACAGTCATTGCATTTCTTGAGTATTTGTATGTCCTTGGTATCAAAGTTGATGCTTTACACATGCACTCTCATGCCTTACCTGCCATTTGAGGGAGGTTTTCTCGTTTTCCCCATTACAGGTGAGGACACGGTCAGTGCTTACCCAAGGTCAAGCTGAGATTAGAGTTCATAACTATATAACTGCTCTAGTCTAAACTAGAAATAAAGAGAAGGGACAAAGGAGGGCAGAGAATGTCATGTCACTCTTCATATAGTGAATGTGGAATTTTGACACAGTGCTTTGGTTACTTGGTTCCAATGTCTTTGACTTTTGAGCAAGATTGAATCTATACACACCACGAGCTTCAGCTATGGGTCTAAGTAGGGAGTGACCTTATTTTTCCAGTGGGGGTTAAACAGGTGGCTGCCTCCAGGAGTGGCCACTGAACACCATACATGTGTGTATTCACAGTGGCTGCCAAGTTTTTGTTTTGGTCACCTCTCCTACAGATGATTACAGTCCATTCTGGGAAGGGATAAAGGGGATTAGCATTTGTGAGGTCAGCTCTCACAGTGTCCCTTTGTGCCTGGGTTCCTGACCTTGATCAACTTTTCTCTGTTGGATTAATAGCAGGCACAGTCAGCACACGTTTTAGTGTGCTGGAAAAATAAGGGAAGAAAGCCTTTGGGCTAGTTACTGCTGGAGATTGTTGATATCTAGGAATGCTAATTGGAGGAGGTTTTATCAGTGGTTTCCCCAAATTTTCTTGGAGAGAAAGGATACTATCAACACTATTCATCAAAATAAGACTAAGGGTTTAGTTTAATGGTTATGAGGTGTTCTGTACTGATTAAGTACTGATACTTAATACCTCACAACCACAGTATAGGTTATTCTTTCCTTTTTGAGATGGGGAGACTAGAATTCAGGTGTTCACGTGCCAAGGTGACACAGCTAGTGCACAGAGGAACTGGCATGTGAGCCCATGGTCCTCCATGAAGTGGCTCCCAAAACACATTTGATGGCACAGGAAAGACTTCATATGATTACACATGAGCACCTCCTGATTTATAGAGGCCGGTAGAGATGACAAGGTCATCAGGATAATTCTTAGATCTTTTCCCCAAACAGCAGACAGCCTTTTGCTGGGAGTTGGTGTAGAAGCAGCTGCAGTTTATTCTGGAAGCAGGAGGGTGGCCTAGTGACCTCCTCAGCCACAGCCACCCCAGCTTGTGATTCTAGGATTCTGTTTCCCTACTTGGGGATGCAAATGCAGACTCCTGGGTCACAATGGGAGCGCTCACATTTCTGGAGTGAGTGACCCTTTCAAAAAGTTAACTATTGTTTTCTGTATTTCTTTTAAAAGTGTAGAGAGATGCTGAGATAAGCAAACCAAACCCCTTAAGACAATAAACTTGATGGGGTGTCCCCACATCTAAAAAAAATATAGTGGAAAATATTTGCAAAACTCAACAAAAATGCTTGTTCACCTCTAGACTAAAGTTAGAAGTGCTTGAATAGAATTTTTCTTTGTTTCCCAGCAGAGTTTGTAAGAAGATGAAACTATAGGATCTCTAACGTTCTGCTGCTCTGCTCTGTGAATGTACTTCCTTTGGAGAGAGTGCCAGTGTTTGATGAGAGAGCCGGGGCCTTGCACTAGACCTAAACACTTGGACAGGTGTGTTCAGAGGTTTAAACATTTGCTGCGTGACTGTATCTGTTCAGTCAGCAACCCTCAGGCGAAGTGAGCCAAGAGAGAACCCCAGGGATTGCTGTAGCTTAAGGAGACCTCGAGGGTGCTCCCTGGGGCAGCCCTCATCTTGCAGATAAGGACACTGAGGCGAGGAGGTAGTTTCTTAGGGTCTCCCTCAGGTTAGGTAGGGGCAGAGCTAAGCTAACTAAGTGACTGAAGAAACTTTTCATGGTCTTGGATTTCTGGAGGAGAGGTTCCTTGTATGAAGTGGTTTTCATAGTATCTTTCCTGGTGACATTTGGTAAAAAGTATAGCTGCTGGTGTCTTCATGACGGGTAGAGCTATGCAGGTGGAAGGTCTACATGTAGAGGACTGAGGTGCCCAGACATAAAAAGTGAACATTAAACAAGCAGGTCTTACAATTACACAATCAAGGAGCAGACGACTGAACACTCAAGCACAGCTTAAGGAACTATTTCATGGAAGCAGTTCAAGAATCAGTCATGTGGCTAATTAAACACTTTATATAAATTCACATGCACATTCATAAAGATAGCAGTTAGGCTTTTAAGAAGGCACATACCTCACTGTTGGCGCTTTCCACAAATGACCCCCCAAACATGGCAGCCATCCACTTGCAGCTACAGATCAGCAGTGGTTTGTGGGCATTGATAGCACCGTCATCCAACTTAAAAGTCACATCTGCCCAAGGATCGAGAAAGCACAGCCATGAGCCTGTCTTGTTGAGCTTTCTTCCCAGTTACATCAGTCTCCAGCTCTCATATTCCTTTTCAATATCTTTACTTATGTGTCAACCCCAATCCTTGGCAAACTCAATTCCCTGTTCTCCAAGGATTAAGAAGCATTTAAAAATCACACATAAGGTCACAACCCAAATTCTCTGACTAATGAAGAAACACAAAGGAGAAGGAGAGGAACAATTATTATGAAAAATTTCAAACATATAGAACAATGAAGAATAGTACAATGGTAAGTCATCTATCGTATATAAAATGTTTGTGTCGATATTTAATGACCAACATGATTCTTCACTTCTAACTTCTTGATCAAGTTTTCTTAAAAAGTAGAGCATTCTCAGTTATCATATCATTCCTGCTTTTAAGAAAATTAGCAATAATTCCTGAATGTCATCATTTATCGAGTTCATATTCAAATATTTCCAATCATCCTAAAATTAAATATCCTATAGTTTTTTTTTTTTAAGGGAGAATACATTTGAGGCTACCACGCTATATTTGATCATTATGTCTGTACAGTAAGGAGAAGGCCATGTCATTAACTAAGGTCCAATGTTTAATTTACTGCAAGTTTGTAGTATTTCTGTTAATTAAATATCAAGACTGATTCTATACCTTGGTGGTATTTATTCATAAATGTTAAAAAACAGGCTTAGTTACGATTTATTAAATGTATATTACCATGACAGGTATTATAAAAGATAAAGACAAAAATAGATGCTTCCAGATAAATAGAAGCATTCATATAAATAGAAGTCAGGAAGTCAAATTTATACAATGAAATACCCAAACACCCAGAGGACAATTTCAGAACAAAAATAGTCCCGGTATGTAAGCTAGTACAAGCAAAGGTCAGTAAGTCATCTTGGCTACAGGCCAGCAGTGTGCTTAAGTAATTCTGTAAGAGTGCTGTAGGCAGCATAGGGCATAGTTAGCAAAGACAAAGAAGGGAAGATAAATATAGAAGAGCAGTGTGAGAATGGGCAAGGAGAGAATGTACAGCAGAGACACCCCGATGGGGATGCTCAGGGTCACCAAAATAGCCTCAGGGATTTCAGGCACGTTAGGCTGCAGAGGTCACCGATTTTTGTCATCAGTGACTGCTGAATGGTCCTGAATAATAGATTTGGTGAGGGAAGAGATCGTGAGTGGGAATTATTAAGAGCAAGCTGACTGGTTCAGGTCAGGGTACACTGTTCTACCCTGTGCTTTAGGAAGTAGCTTAGGGTCAAAGTTTGACCTTATCATTGCTACTTTATAGCTGCGAGCCAAATATTTCACTTTTCTACCCCTCAGTTTTTTCATCTACAAAATGGAGCTAATAATATTTATCCTTTAGTTTTGAGAGTAAGTACAGAAGTGAATACACGGAATGTAGGTAGATGGGAAAAATAATCTGGTATACGTGCAGTGATGGTGATTCTTTCCCCTGCTCTTGTTTGGCACATGTTTGATATAATACAACCAAGGCTACTGATGACTTTACCATTGGACCTGCTCACCTGAAAACGTCCCCTTACTGAGACACTCTTTTATCCGATTGGCTTTCCTGACGTGAAATGCTTTTGTAATCTCCTGGTTCATGAAGGCTTCCTTGTTCATGATGTTTTCCACCATCATCCTCAAATCGAACATCTCCAGGACTTCTGCAATCTGAGCCAGGCCCACCAAATCCTTCTCATTTTCATCCAGTTGCCCTGTATAAAGAAACTGGAGCAGGGTCCTGAAGGGGCCTGACTGGACAGACGAATCCATTCTGACCACGGTGACTGGGGCCACCCGCTTTGAAATGGGATTGACTTGCATTTCCTTGTGCATGCCAATGAACCCTTTACTCCAGCCTGACAAAGTCTGAGTCTCTGGAATCAGGCTCTCGGCTTCCAGCCCTGGAGTCTCCAGCTGGAACAGGTTCTGGCTGGAGGACTTCCACTGACCTGCCTGAGGAGTCCTTGGGGTGCCCTCCTCCCTTGCCTCATCTGGGTCAACACTCAATGACCATCCTTGGAAATCCTGGCTATGCTTCTCTTTCTCATAAGCTCCTTCACTCCAATTTGTGGTTTCTTCACATTCCATTAAAAAAAGATCATAAAATTTGGAAGAGGAGGTAGCGAGGTAAATTCGGTGTGCAAAGATGTGCTCCTGGCCCTGGAGGACAAACAGGACGTCAGCACACAGAGGATTGTCCAGTAAACAGGCAGCTTCGTTCGTTCCTGTCGAGGGACATTCTGGAACTTTGATGACTGGTGGAGGTGCTTTTGGAGGTAGGAATGGTGCCTGAAGTAAAGGTTTCTGAACTTTCTTTAAGTGGGATTTCCAGAACTGCAGATGCCGACGGGAGATCAGTGCGGCTCTGATTGCATTGTCAAACACATCCTTGATTCCAAACTGATCAAAAACGCTTGTTTCATAGTATGGGATGCCAAGTTCCTTAGCAACCTCTCGGCCTTTTTCTGGGGGCAAAATATCCCCTCTTTTGATAGGCCTGAAATAGAATATTAAAAAATTAGAACAGCCTTATGTCAGGAGGGAACCCACAAAATCCAGGGCCTGTGTAGGCATTTGATTGAATTAGACATTTAAAATCCTACTCAGGCTTTTAAGAAGGTTGAAATATAGGAAATATATTAGGAAAATATATAACCAACCTCAGCTATTTTAAAGGACTTATGAATGCAGAGAAAAAATACTTTCCCTGTAGCAACAGTAACTAAAACAGCAGTCATTTTCTTGCTATTTGTTCCTGAGAAAGTTACTTAACCTCTGTCTTGTTCTTGCCATCTATAATATAGAATAACAATAATATTGAATACTTACATCTTAAAGAACCATACTAAAAAGTTTACATTTTGTGTTTTTAAATTATTTTTTATTGAATTACCGCTATTTTACATCCTTGTTCATTTTTTTTCACAACAAAGATTTTCTCCCCTTAGGTGTGGTCATCATAGTTCTCACATCACCAAATCATCCATAATTCTTCACCATAGTCCTCTGAGCTCACCCCCTTTTTTTCTCCCCTCCTTCTCTTCCCCTTCCCTCTCAGATACTTTAGATCTAAGGTCAGCTTCCAAAGGCTTTTTTTTTTTTTTTAAAGATTTATTTATTTACTCATACAAAACTAGGGTGCAGACCAGAAGTGCAGAGGCAGTGAGAGAGGATTCACCAGAGATACAGTGGGGAGAAGAACAGGCAGATCAATGATATATACTGTTGAGGGGAGACAGGAGAGGTCCACTGTGCCATGTGGATCACTTCTGGGGCTGAGGATCGAACTTATACTGAAGCAGCTGCAGTTAGCTTGCAGTGCTGCATCCTAACCCATTGTGCCATCAGGGAGGCCCTCAAGGGTTGGTTTTCAAGTTTGTGTTTGTCTGATCCTTTGTTTGGTTTGCCTCCATTACATATATAAATGACACCATCCAGTATTTCTCTTTTTCCTTCTGGCTTATTTTGCTTAGGATAATCTCCCCTCCAGTTCCACTGATGTTGCCACAAATGGCATAAGTTTCTTTTTTGATCACTGAGTAATATTCATTGTGTATGTATGTACGCATACATGATGATCCCCTTATCCATTCTGGGGCATTTGGGTTGGTTCCATATTGTAAATAGTACTGTGATAAGCCCAGGAGTTCATGGTTCCTTTGGAATTAAGTGTTTTGTGTTCTTTGTGCAGATACCTAGGAGTGGAATTGCTGGGTCATATGGCAGATTCATATGAATCTGCCACACTGCTTTTTCAGGAGCCCCACACTGCTTTTTCATAGGGTGTAGCAGTCTACATTCCCACCAATAGTGGAAGAGGGTTCCTTTTTCTTCACATCCTTGTCAGTACATTTTTTTTCTTATGGGCCATACTCACAGGTGTGAGGTTGTGTTGCATTGTGTTTTTTTTTTTTTAATTTTTTTATTTATTCATACAGAACTGGGGTACAGGCCAGAGGCTCAGGGGCGGTGAGAAGCTTCACCAGAGACAGAGTGGGGAGCAGAACAGGCAGATCGACTAAGTACACTGCTGAGGGGAGCAGCGGGCGGGCCAGGAAAGGTCTGCCACGCCATGTGGTCACCTCCGGGGCAGGCGGGAATAGAACTCATGCGGAAGTGGCTTTAGCTTTCTTAGTGCAGTGCTTTAACCCACTGTGCCACCAGGGAGGGCCCCATTGTGGTTTTGATGGTTTTGTTTTTTTAAAAGATTTATTTTATTTGTATATACAGAACTGGGGTACAGGCCAGAGGCTCAGGGGCGGTGAGAAGCTTCACCAGAGACAGAGTGGGGAGCAGAACAGGCAGATCGACTAAGTACACTGCTGAGGGGAGCAGCGGGCGGGCCAGGAAAGGTCTGCCACGCCATGTGGTCACCTCCGGGGCAGGCGGGAATAGAACTCATGCGGAAGTGGCTTTAGCTTCTTAGTGCAGTGCTTTAACCCACTGTGCCACCAGGGAGGGCCCCATTGTGGTTTTGATGGTAAGTGGTGAACACTTTTTCATGTCTTTGGAGAAGTGCCTATTTAGCTCTTTTTAGTGCCCACATCATTTTTTGATGTGGTTGTTTGTTTTCTTTTCGTTAAGTTGCACGAGTTTTATAGACCTTGTGTAAATATATTCTGCCATTCAGTAGATGTCTCTTCATTCTGATTACTCTTTCATTGTACAGAAACCTTTTAGTTTGATATAGTGTCAGTGCTTATATTCGCCTCTGTTTTCTTTGCTGCTGGAGATGACTATGCAAACATGTTTCTGAAGTTTATATTGTGGAATGTTTGTCTATGTTTTCTCCTATGTATTTTATAGTTTCTGGTATTACTATTGAGCTTTAAATCCATTTTGAGTTTATTTTTCATGTATGGAATGAGATATTTAGTTTCATTCTTTTGTATGTGATAGTCCAATTTTCCTAAAAGCATCAACTGAAGAAACTCTCCTTGTTCTAGTTTATACTCCTCACTTCTTTGTTGTAGAGTAGTTAATCTTAAATGTGTGGTTTTATTTATGGGTTCTTAATTCCATTCCATTGTTTTGTGTATACTTGTGTTCCAATAACATGCTGTTTAAATTATAATATTATTATTATTTTTAAAAGACTTACTTATTTTTGCATACAGAACTGGGCTAGAGGCACAGGGGCAATGAGTCACCAGAGACAGAGTGGGGAGCAGAACAAGCAAATCAATGAAGTACACTGCTGAGGGGAGCAGCGGATGGGTCAGAAGAGGTCTTCCATACCATGTGGGTCACCTCTGGGGCCAGGGATCGAACTCGTTGCTTTTTAGTGCTGTGCTTTAACCCACTGTACCACAAGGGAGTGCCCGCTGTTTAAGTTATTATGGCTTTATAATTTAGTTTAAAGCCTGGAAGAGTGATGTGTCCAGCTTTTCCCCTTTTCAGTCAGGAGTTACTTTGACTATTTGGGGTCTTTTGTGGTTCCATAGGGATTTTAGTAATCTTTATGTTGTTGCAGAATGCCATTGGGATTTTTATCGGGATTGTATTGAATCTGTGAATTGCTTTGGGTAGGATGACCATTTTGACAATGTTGATTCTTCCTATTCATGAGCAAAGTATATTTTCCATTTCTTTGTGTCTTCTATTTTTTTAGTGTTTTAGAGTTTTCCTGTGTAGATCCTTTACCTTCTTTGTTAGGTTTACTCCCTGGTACTTAATTTTTTTAATTGGGAAGTTTAAATGAGATAATATAAAGTACCTTAATAGATGTTAGTCGTGATCATTATTGCCACCATCATCTTTGTCTTCATTACTTTGTATTTAAATTTTGCTTTAAAACTATAAAATGACTTTATATATGCTTTTTCATTTGAGACTCAATCTGCATTCTCAAGAAATTGATGCAGAGAGTTTACAGTGTTTACCTAATGTTGAATTCTTAAGTTGCTGAAAGACCTCTACTGAACATTTAGAATCTAGAACTCCCTATACCAAATGGCTCACATCCAAAACTCTGTCTCTTCTAACAGAATTGTGAGTCTTCTTTTATACCTTTCCTCTTCTCTTTTCTTTTACTCTTGTTAGACAGGCCCTTATCACCTTTTTCTTGGACTAGAGCATTAGCCTTTAATTGGTATTCCTTCAGACTCTACATTTTAATCCACAATTTAGTGCCACTTGGAAAATCCTTACATAAGATAAATATGACTTAGCTGAAAATTATTTAAAAAAAAATTCTGCTGGTTCCACAAAGCCTAAAGAATTAAGTCTATACCATTTAGGCTGGCATACAAGGCTTGTTAATAATTTAATCAAACCCAGGGAGTACCAAACATCAGAAGCAGAATAAGCAGAATGGTGGTGTGCTTCTAGCATAATTACTGAAAAGAAACAAAGGAACTCCAGAACACAAGCAAGATGTGTTCTCTGTTACTTTTCACAGTTACATATACTTGATTCTGAGACATACTCTTAAGAATTGATCTTCCTAAAAAAAAATTGTCTTTCAAGACCAAAGTTAATATGTGTGATAAGCAGTAGTCTTAAGAGAAATAACACTTGACAGAATTTGCATTTGAAGAAAGTTGGTTGGAAGAGACAAAAAACCTGTAGGGTGTTGCAAAGACCAATGGAAAGTTCAGGGAAGAAGGTTTAACCTGGTGGTTTGCTCCTGGAGGGCAGTTTGTGGTCCCTGCTCTAGGGAATGACTTAAAACCAGTTCAAATACCACCTCTTTAGTGGAACCCCAGAACTTCTCTGTAGAAAGACTGTTTCCTGTACTGTCCCCCACATCTCTGCAACGTTCCATAGTTCTCTATGGTTGTGAAGCTCAATGATCTTAACCTATTCTGTGACACAGAAAGTTCCTCAGACTAGGTGCCAGCTCTCATTTGTTATGAGTTCTCATTTTTTCTTCTATATGCTCTTAATAATAGATTGTAGAAACTGAACATGAAATGTTTTCAGAAATCTTGTCCAAAATATATCTGGATTTCAGAAATCATCTAAAGGTATTTTTATTTTCTTTTACTGTGAAAGCATAAAAAATAAATATAAAATTTTGCAATGAGTCTATTAGGCAAACATTGAAAGATGGCTTTTGTTTTTAAATGGAAGTAACATCGCATTACAGCACTATATAATCCTCAGGTGTGCTTGATCAAGAATCAACAATTGTATATACTACATTAAATCTAATTCTCTGCTTCACCAGCAGGACAGTATCAATATTTCTGGAAAAGGTATGCTCATCAGCATAAAGGCAGTTAACTATGAACATACAAACAATTGTTTTTCATAAAGATAATATTGAGGGAGGATAGCCTTTTATAAGCTTATTCCCCCCTTCGTCAATATCTACATTTTTAAGAGTGCAACAAATCCTCCTCCAAGTTTTATTTTAAACTGGTGACACTTTACAAGTATAATCACTAAAGTCATTCAAAATAGTGCTTTTTGGTTTGCAACTACACATCCACTTAGATTTTTAAAGCTGGGCACTATCATCTTATGAAATACACACAGAAGCTGAATTGTAGAAACCAAAAACTTAAAAAACAAAGAAACAAACAAACTTGGATATATGTATTTGAATAAATCTGATCTTCCTAGGGTCAAGTAATCACTCTTGATGTTAGCTGACTGTCTTATAATAGCATAATTTCAAGAATGATATTACTATGTGTAGCTAAATCTTTTGTTTAAGATTTTTGCAGGTGGGGGTGGGGAAAGACTTTACAAATTTCAAAATACTTTTATGCACACCAGGTCATATTTACTTCAGTGATTCATGTCAAATGGTGGTCAACCATTTACAAAAATAGGCTCCAGTCTACAGGAGATGGTGAATATGAGAAGCAACAGGTACACCCTCTCCAGAGTGGTTAACAAGCTAACTTAAAGCTGTGGCTGAGCAATGGGGTCACAGAACCATTGCAAACAGAACCCTAGGCTAGAAAGACATCTGCTACCTCTAAATTTTAATTTGGCCAGTGCAGTGAAACACCAAGTCCCTTGGCTTACCTCGCTAAAGGGCGTCTGGCACGATTAACAGCTTCAAGATCAGCATAGCGGAGATCTAGCTGGCAGCCAACTAGAACAACAGGTGTGCGAGGGCAAAAGTGCTTGATTTCTTGATACCACATGGTTTTCACATGATTTAGGGAATTGGGATTAGCGATCGAAAAACAGAGGACCACAACATCCGACCTAAAAGGAAACCACAAAAGAAGCTGTATTGCCTTTGAACTTCCCCCGTTATCACTATGGCTTCTCTTCTTCCCCAACCACCTAGTGCCATATTGTGTCACAATTTAAAAATGGCTAAACATTAAAATACATCTCGGGGTCATGCAAATAGCCCGATAAGCCCCCACATTCCGGCACCCACACAGCCTGGGCACCCACACAGCCTGAGTTCTCTTGGGCACTGCAGGGCAGAGAGCCTATGCATCCTAACGTTTCCAATGAAGTATTGTACAGTATAGATGGTCCCCCACACTTGATGCAGTCCTGGTATCACAACATGCTGAACTATTTCTGTTCCAAAGAAATAGTTACCAGATAAAAGAAAATAAGAAGTACCTTTTACCAGTTTAAACATAAAGATGATGATGACTCAACCCAATGAGATAAAGCAAAGAGTTTAAACATTACTGAAAACGTAACAGGTATTTGCTGTGCAGCGTCGGCAAATACACAGAAGGATTTCTGCCCTTCTTTCCACTTAAGCACACGTGTAGAGAGCACAACCACTTAACTTTTCTGAAAAGAAAAAATCCCGAGTTTACCAAATTTTTGACTCTAGTAGATTTAAGGCAAGAAAGCTAGTATTTAACATAAAAATAGCAAAAGAGTTAGATGGATGGCTAATGAGATGAGAAAGTGTTGGAAACAGATTTCTCAACTGTTATATATGACACGTAGCAAGTATATGGGAAAAAGAAAAAATGCTTTATAGTCAATTCTGGCATAAGGATCTTCCATTTTTGTATAATGACTTACCATTCTTGAAGCCAAAGAACTGTTTTATGAAACAGTTGTTCAATTATGGTGTTTGACAGATAGCTGTTAAAAGGTATCTTTAACAAGAATTATAAAGCAGCATTTCAGGTTAAAATATGCTGAATGATGACATTGAAAGTATTAAGGCAGAGGAATGTAAGGAGTAGGGAAAGTTATGCCTAAGGATTTAAGACTATCTAGCAGTTAAATTCAGAAATAAACTCTTACAATTTTATTAGATGTTAATTTATTGACTTTATTGTTTATGTAATGAGAAGAATCAAGTCGATGAATCAAAATACCTTTTTAAATCATTAATGAGCTTTTCCCTCTACATATCAATGAAGACAAACAAATATATCCAGGCAACCATAAAATTTCTAAAAATAATCATTTGCAATGCAGAAAACTGCAGGGTGCTTACATTAAATGTAATTCACAAGTTGAGTCTTTAGATTTATATCTAAGAAAAACTGCACCAGACCACAACAAATAAAGGGAAAGATCCTGAGATTAAAATATTTCCAAATAAAAAAGGAGGATGTAGGACTCCAAGTAGATTAATATAATAATCAGCATGTTTAGAATGTCCTTGAAATAAAGATATTATCAAAGATTCTTGGACAATGGAAAATATGTGTAAAAATATGCATAAGTATATAAATGAAATGTAATCATGGCTTGTCTTTGGAATTTTGATTTAGTTAGTGGAATATTCTGTGCACAGTCTTAATTCTAATCAGCATAAATAACAGTATCCAGTGAAGCCAAGAATGCTTTAAATTTTACATTTTTTAGCAGCTGAGTTTTCTATTATTCATAATCCTATTTATATAGGATATCTGATGCAGCTCTGCTATAAGCTTCAGCCTGATCTAAAATAAAAGCACCATGAATTTTGACACAGTGAGAATAATATGGCAATATCTGAGATTCAATATTATAGAGAAAGAATTGAGGAAATTTATCTAGCACCTCAATGTATAAAATTGTTCTAATCAGTGTCTACTATTTCCATATTAAGGCACATGACTATAAAGAAAATCATTTTCAGAGCTTAATTTATATGACAGATATGTAGCTAAATGTCAATTCTGTTATCTCATTTTATGATACAGAAGTGAGGTTTAGAAATCAGAGCTAGCTCGGTTGCCAAGGTTACCATGATAACACTTACACCACTGAACACATACTAGTTACTATCCATATGACCCGTAAACAAGTACAGACAGGACCTTGGGCGTTGGAAAAATGGAATCTCCTGATGATAGCAGCACAATGCCGTCATTCAACATAGGTCCGGAGGGTCCAATTTCTAACTATGTCACATCAATATCTCAATATCTCAATGCATGAAATGCTGTCGGAAAGTTAGAAAAATAATTCAATGCTCTGTAAATATTTGTTTCAAAGGATTATAGTTAAAGAGGTTGTGCTGAGAGCGGTACTACCTCTGAAGTGAAAATAACTTATTCTATTTTGCCAAAATTCTATTTGTCTCCTTGAAACAAAATAATTCTTTTTCCCTTTTTTAAGGCATAATTAGGTGTTAGGTGAACCTGTCTCCTCTATTTTACCTTGAAAGCAGTTAAAGAGTATGATCATATTTTAGCGCTAACAACTTGCTCAAATGTTTTTGGCTAAGCCCTATTGATCTAAATACAAATGAAAGTTAAGAAGACATTGTATGTGGATTAAATAGAATTGTACTCTTCAGGTCTGCCATATGAATGTAGAACCCAAACCCTGATTTTTACCAAGAAACTAATCAATGGATACAGCAAGAGAGTTACAAAAAGATGCCACTTTGATGTATTTCTCTATATCCCAACATTCTTTTTCAATTTCTCTCAACATATCTGTGATAAACATCTATATGATCAAGTAACTACTTAGAAAATGTCATTTATTCCCTATAGATTTTGAGCCATTTTTCTATCTTCTCAAAGAAGGCACAAGACCTACAGCTAAGCGTTTCTCTGGCTTTAGGCAGAATTCCAAGGAACTAGAGCTATTAAATAACTTTTAATCAAAACACGCATTCCTATGTAGAGACTGTTCAATGTCTGACATACGCTCGTGTTTAAAATGCCATTCCTAAGAAAGATAAAAAGAAAAAGGCAAGTTCTGGTATTTCTACCTCCATGATTCTGTTGCTTTTTTTAAAAAATACTTTGAAGAGCTCAGTTTAAAAATAATTGGGAGGGGGGAATATGATGGGGGTATCCTCACAAGAGACAGCAAGGTCAGCCTAAAAATGACCTCTGAGTTCCTATTCAGCTGTAAAATGAATTTGATAGATTTAAATGGAACCCTACAGTTATTTGAAGTAGAATGCACATGGATTTGAGAAGAGGCAAAGAGCAGAGTAGATAAAACTTCAAACTCTAGAACTGCAATATGGAGAAGGCACAGGAAGACATTTGAAATTTTTTTTGACTGGGCTAAGTGATTTTATTATAGAAAGCCAGGGTGACAAAGGAGTTAAGTAGTTGTGGTCTCAGTTGTTTGTCTATGAAATTTTTTTGGGGGGGTAAGGTGGGGGAAGAAAGGTGGTTTATTGTTCCTGAAGAGAAAATAACAACATAATAGTTTCACTAAGGTGCTAACACATTAAATAATACCTATGAACGAATAGTGATTAGTGATGTGAAAAAAAAAAAAACCAGTAAATTTCTCAGTGGAAATAACTGTAAATCTCCAGTTCTTTGGAAATATGGGAAGTTGGGGGTGGGAGAGGAGTATTCAGAGAGAGACCAATTGATCAAAACTTAAGCTCAAAAAAGCCAATCTCAATTGTAACAGTTTTTCCCCCAGATATGAAACAAACATTTTTTCCTTTTTACAGAAGTTATCTTTTACAGAGAACATGGACCAAAGATAGCATGTGAAAAATTGGTAAAGATATTTATACAACATAAAGAGTGCATATAAAGTTGGGACTAATTTTTGTTGGGGGACCTTTGGCCGGAGTTAAACTTTAAACAGCAAATGCCACACATCTTTCAATGTGTATCTTTATAACAGCTATAGTCAAGTATAGTGAATTTCGTGGAACAAGATCAGAGATGCAACCAGTAGCTAAACTACTTTTCCAAACTAAAATAGCAAATTCATCCTTTGAAGAAGTGATTGAAAAAGAGCAGATAATCAGTATCAAAATTCTCTTAGGAATGAATTTTTAAAGATTCTTACTATCACTAAACTGTTCTCTGTCTTTTCCTTTGTCTGGTGCCATCTACATGGCTACTATTGCCCAAGTAAGGTCCTTCAATTCTCTGATTTTCTAATCTGAGTAAGTGAAAAAGTAATTTCTAAGTTATGATGTAGTTAAGACCTGATCAGTTTGACAGGTGATGTGAAGGACAGTAGGCTCTACACAATTCTCTAGAGGGCTGTTGAGTGGGACAGTCAAATGTCTTCTCCAATGTGCCAATTCTTTTTGGGTCTCTTGCTGATAAAATTTGGTGACCGAGAGTAAGGTAACAATTGTATTCATCCCAGTCTTGTTTGGGAAGATCTCTTTAAACATACTTTTAAGTCTTTTGCTCCATGGTTGGGTCCTACCTCTTCATAAGTCACTGCTGCCCAGTATTTCTTTCTTTTTTTTTTCAGTAGAAACTCCCATGTCCTTTATATTAGTAGACATGGTCACATTTTAATGGCCCTCTTTTTGTCAATGACACAGGTCTCCTTCTGGCAAAAATGTAGCTAGGAGACCCTCATCTTCACGTGGCACTGAGGCATCAAGCTCCCTTCTCCCCCCATAATCAAGGTAGGCACTTTACAGAAACATATTCAAAACCATTCATGTCAACAACACACCTTTCATGCACATAGTTTGACAGTGCTATGCAAACAGACAGATCAAAACAGCACAAAACAGCTGGGAGCATGGCAGAGAAAAGGAATGTATCACAAGTGGCTTTGGAAATTTTTAGTAGGGGAGCAGCCCGGTGTGTATGAGATGCGGAGGGGGTTGTCAGTGACAGTGAACATGACCACCTGCAGATGAATGGCTGTGTAAGCTCATACTCATGGAAGATGGAGAGGCCTGTAGGGAAGTGCCTGGCAGGGGTCTGGGGTTGGGGAGCAGGGCAGGACCATGCAGTGCCCTGGATGTGAGTAGAGAAATCAAGTCAATACTTTACCAATAGCAGTGAGGCTTCTTAAGTACAGATGTTATGTGGGGAAAACTGTGAAAA